TATAGGAATCAATAACTAAATAGAATAAAACTAAAGAGACCAAATCCTAAAAGAATGAAACTACTATATATATATATATATATATTAAAAAGTGTATCTACAAGTTCTCTATGTAACTTTATTTTAATTTTCAATAAAAACTTTTTACATACTAATTTCTTAACCAGACACTGGTAGCAAGATCGTTAAAAAAAATGAAATAGTGATCATGACGATAAATTATTGAATGGTTCGAGACCACCATGCTTCAATAGTCATGACTATTTTTAATGTAATATGTATCTGAGATTTTAAATTTATGATACAGTTAAAAAAACTTGACTACATGTCACGGTTACACACAATAGACTCAGATCATATAATAATTTCTCAATCATGACAACTAAGTAAATTGAAGGGTTGAAGTATTGAACATGAACCTTAATAGAGGGATGGAAAGTGGATGAGGTATCAGAAGCAGCTACGTTTGTCATTGAGGGTGCCCCAAGAGACTGATTTGAGATGCTGCATTGCTTTGGAAAACTAAAAGCATGCCGCACCAAGCTTTCATCATTTGAAGATGAGGCAATTGCACTGGTACAATTCTGAAGTTCATTACCCGCATCAAGGTTCAACCCAGTCTGAGGCATTATCATAGGTCGTAGTCCTCCTGGCAAAGACATTGGATGCAAGCTCAAGCCATTTCTCATCATTAACATCTGCAGAATCAATCATAAAAGCACTAAAGTAACAATTAGTCAATGAAGGAGTAATGGATCCACATAATATGAATGTGTAACAATTAGTCAATTAAGGAGTAATGGACCCACATAACCTGAATGTGGCAAGACCAAAACTTACAAGACTTTTCTTTTCTCAATTAACTAAAATGAATCAATTAATATTATAGCCGCTTGAGCATGTATTACAGGTTCAATAATGCTCTACCAACTCTTAAATGTGTTAGAGACCTGACATAAAAACCATTCATGTGTCTTTGCCTAACAGCTCAAGCTTTTAGGATAATTGGCTCATAACACATCATAGCCTCTATGTCTATGGTCAAGTGTTTAATCATTATTGTTTTTATTCTTCTAATATACAAGGTAAGTAGACAGACCTATGCACTATTCGTGCTTCAAATGCAATGACTCTAGTTAAAACTGTAATATAAAAATCATATACGTATCTTCACTAAACAGCTTAAGCATGTGTTTAGTTAGGCATTAGTCACGTGCGTCTTTGTTAAATTTCACGACAAAAAATAGAAGAAACACAGACGCTACTTCTTATTTCTTCAGAAGGGACTGAAAACCAAACACACGGATAAGTTTTTGAAAAAGTTGGTTCATAGCAAAATGTACCAAAAAGAATTGAAACAACTTTAAAAGGACCACGATGGGCATTTAGTCTTTTGTTTTATCATTGGCACATGTCACAGTTAACTAGTTAAGGACAATGTGTAGCACAAAAATTCAAGCGTTAACGGACCCTCTCAAGTTATGTAGCACTGATGTAAAGTTTATCTTTTGGTGACTAACCAAAAAAAAAAAAAAATCCTCCATGTCGAAACATGGTTGAGCATGCGAACAAACAGTCATCATCTGTGTTGTTTATTGATTCTGTAACTAATAGCCTAGCAGCGTGACATGTTAATTGCACTGCCCAAAGAGGGTTTTAAAGTTCTCAACTGTTCACCCCATGTCAAAATCTCGATGGAAAATTCATCATCTCAGTGATCACGAAAAAGAATGAGGAGGACCGATAACACACTCTCTTAAAATTAAAGAAAAACTATAAAATTCTAAGCTAAACATATGAAATGGGAAGTTGAACTCAATATTCTGTGATTAATGATTTCTATAAAAACTAGATCAATAATAAATAATGTGATCAAAATAACATGTCAGAGAGTGTATTGCTGTCCTAGCTGAGAGTACTCATGAAAGGAAAATACGAGTGTGAAATTAGTAACTAAATGAAGAGGATAATTGTCACCAACAAAAATGAGGATAAAAGAATAAACGAGTCACGTAGAGAACGAAAGACATATCCAATGAGTGATTACACACTATCACAAGCTGAATGAAAGAAAACTCACTTGCACTTGAAGTTGAAGCTGCTTTAAATATTCTATGGCCTCATCTAGCATTGAAGCTTTGTCTGTCTATTGAAAACAAACACAAAGGACTTATTCAGAAGAAAATAATTTTAAAAAAAAGTCTTTTGAGAGAGAAATTAATTTAATGGAGAGAAAAAGGGCTATGAATATATGTTGAGATTATACCTTGTTAGAATTCGGAATTAAATTCTGCAAGGCTTTCATTTTCTCGTTAATCCTGCTCCTTCTTCTCTGCACAGATCAAAACCATCAATCAGAATCACGAAATCCGAAAGATTTTACAGAAAATTGAAGGATCAAAAAGGAACCTTTTCAGACAAATTATGGAACTCTGCAGCTCTACTCCTCTTTGACGAAGAACGTGGTGGTGGGACAGGTTTCGATGCCTCCACACTCTTCTACCAAAAACAAAATGGAAAATCCACTCACTAACAGAAAAAGTCACCCAAAATGCAATTTTGAATTTTCAAAAGATCTACCCAACTCTGTGCTATAACTATCTTAACCTTTGAATCCAAAATCAATTAACTATTAGCAAGGTTTTAAAAAATGGCCCACGACCACAATTTTGATAACAACACCAAGGTTTTTGATGCTGTTGTGACCCCAATTAGTCCACAATTTCTCACAACATCAAGGATCACGATAAAACTACAACCGCGATGACAACCACAATTTTGATGACAACACCAAGGTTTTTGAGGCTGTTGTACCCCCAATCAGTCTACAATTTGTCACGATATCAAAGATCGCAACGAAACTGCGACCGCAACCACAATTTAGCAACAGAGAATTTTGATGTTAAACAAGTTTAAATTTTAATAATAAATTGAAGAGTTGGGTTTAAAGGGTGTATGAAAGTGATGACACTTTTTTGTGGGAAACCAAAAAACAGTTTTTGTTTTACCTCAGGAGCAGAAGGGAAATCAGGGGTGTGATTGTTGTGTTGTTTGAAGGTGTTGGCATGAGAGGCAGTGATGTTGTAATGATGGGGGTGAGAGAAATGGAAATTTGAGGGAGAAGAAGGAACAGTGGTGGTGAAATCAGAAGGTGAATGATTCGGGTCCATTGAGTTGTGGAGGAGTTGGTTGAACAAGGATGAGAACTCTTCTGAATCAGGAGGCAAGGCTCTCCCTAATGATGGCTGTGGTTGGTGCATGTTGTCACCAGCCATGGAACTTGGAAGATCAAAGGCAAAACTGATAGAGAGAGAGAGAGAGAATGAGAATGTTAATGTTGATGTTGTGCCCTGCTATGCTCTGCTCAGCAGCTTGGAAATAGCAAATAGGACAAAAGGTTTTGTGTAAGCGGGATTAACGTTTTAAATTGGATCTATAATACTGTTTGTACGAGGTCATTTACTGTTCTCACTTGTCATTACAATTTCATTACTCTCCCTCCTCTTCTTCTTATCCTTTTAATACTAAACTAAATAAATATTAAAGTAAATTTTTTTTTTCGTTACTAGAATATCCTTTATATTTATCCCATTTAAATATATTTTTATCTCTCAAATTTAAGATAAATTTATTTTTATCTCTCAAATTTAAAATTTTTATTTTTGTCCTTCTAATTTTTTTAAATTTTATTTTAATTTCTTAAATTACTAATAATATATATGAAAGTGAAATTAAAACAATTATATATCTTGGATTTAATGTGATGTTATCACTAACAAAGATACTAGTACATAGATTTTATATAATAGTACTTGACAAATTTTCTAATAAAATTTAAATATAAAAATTAAAATAATATTTTTAAAAATTACAGAAATTAAAAAGACTAATTTAAAATTTAAAAAATAAATAAATAAATTTATCTTAAATTTAAGAAAGTAAAAACATATTTAAATCTATTTATTTATATGTATCACTTAATTTATAATAAAAATAAGTATTTATTAATGATAGAAGTATATATATATATACTTCTATCATTAATAAATACTTATTTTTATTATAAATTAAGTGATACATATAAATAAATAGATTTAAATATGTTTTTA